ATATTATAAGAGATTAAGTGCATTATATATTATATATTAGTAAAAGTTTGCATCTCAAAGAAGATTGAAAAATTACAAACATTTACTTAATATGCACTTAATAATGCATTCAATATATATGAAGCAAAGATTTACAAAATTGAGAGAGGGAACACACAGTTCAAAAAATAATAGTTGTAGACATCAATTCTCCACTTTCAATAATGGATATAACAACTAGAGAGAATATAAGGAAAGAGAGGACTTGAACAATAAAATAGTAAGCTAGACTGAACAGAGATATACGACATCAGAATACATATTCTTCTCAAGTTCACAGGATATTCTACAGGATAGAACACAGGTAAGGCCACGAAATAGTCTCAGTAGTTTTTTTTTTTCCAAGAAGTATACATATATAATTCAGCTTTCCTATAATGACATAAAATTAAAAATCAGTAACAGAGTGATGACTAAAAAAATTTCTGCACAAATATACAGAAACTAAGCAACACATTTTTAAATGACCAAGAGGCCAAAAAAAGAACCACAGGGAAATTAGAAAATATTTTGAGAAAATGAGTATAAAAACATAACATATCACTTTGGGAGGTTGAGGTGGGCAACTAACCTGAGGTCAGGAGTTTGTGACAAACCTGGCCAAAATGACAAAACCCTGTCTCTGCTAAAAATACAAAAATTCACCAGGCATGGTAATGCACACCTGTAGTCCCAACTACTGGGGAGGCTGAGGCAGGAGAATCGCTTGAACCCAGGAGGTGGAGGTTGCAGTGAGCTGAGATTGTGCCATCGCACTCCAGCCTGGGTGACAGAGTGAGACTCCATCTCAAAACAAACAAACAGACAGACAACAAAAAACAACAACAAAAACCAATAACATATCAAATCTTATGAATACAGTGTAAGCAACGCTAAGACATAAATTTGTAGGTGCAAACAAATTAAATAACCTGGATGAATGGTCAAGTTCCTAGAAAGATACAACCCATCAAGACTGAATCATGAAGAAACAGAAGACCTGAACAGACCTGTAACTAGTAAGGAGATTGACTCTGTAATTGAAAACCTCCCAGCAAAAAAGAAACAAAGACCTGCTGGCTTCACCTGTGGATTCTGGCAACTTTTAAGGAATTAAAACCAATCCTTCTCATACTTTTCCAAAAAAAGGAAGAAAAAGAAGTGACAACTCCTAATCCATTTTATGACACCAGCATTAGTAAGTTTGAAAATATCAAACTTGTGCAAAACATCTTTTCTAATCACTATGGAATAATACTTGAAATCCATATGAGGAAAAAAACTGAAAAATTTGCAAATATATAGAAATTAAACAGCATACTCTTAAACAACCAACGGGTCAAAGGAGAAATCACAAATAAAAATGAAAACACATCATTTCATGATCTGTTGAATTCAGACAAAGCATTGCGGACATAATTTCATCCATGCTTTCACGAATGGCAGGGATTTCTTCTTTACGACTGAATAATATTCCTTTATGCATGTGTGTGTAAACATATATGTATGCATATATATATTACATTTTCTTTATCTATTCATCTGTCACTTATCACTTAGATTATCTTCATATCTTGCCTTGGTGAACAATGCTGCAATGAATATGGGCGTGTAGATATCTCTTCAATGCTGATTTCATTTCCTATGTATATATACTCATAAATGGGATTCCATGAACTGTGTGGCAATTCTTTTAATATTTTGAGAAACCTACAAACTGTTTTCCATGTGACTGTACCAATTTACATATGGCTGTTCCCTTTTCTCCAGCCCCTTACCCAACACCTAATGTCTTATCTTTTTGAGGATACCCACTCTAACAGGTGTGAGGTGATGTCTTATTGTGATTTTTATTTGCATTTCCCTGATGATTAGTGATGCTGAGAATGTTTTCATATGCCTTTTGACCATTTGTATGTCTTCTCTGGAAAAAAGATGTTTATTTAGGTTTTTTGCCCATTTAAAAAAAATTTTTTTTTTTTTCTATTGAGTTATATTTGTTACTTAAATATTTTGGATTGTTAACCTTTTAACAGAATTGTTTTTTTTCCCAGCTCATAGGTTTTCTTTTTATTTTGTTGATTGTTTCATTCCACTACAGAAACTTTTTAGTTTGGTGTAGTCCCACTTGTTTAATTTTGTTTTTGTTGCCTGAGCTTTGGGTGTCATATCCAAAAAATCATTGCAAAGACTAATGTCAAGAAACTCTCTCCCTATGTTTTCTTCTAGGAGTTTTACGATTTTAGGTACTGCATTTAAGTCTTTAATCCATTTTGGATTAAGTTTTGTATGTAGTATGAGGTAAGGGTCCAATTTCACTCTTTTGCATGTGGATATTCCATTTCCCCAATACCATTTATCAAAGAGACTATCCTTTCCATATTTTTATTCTTGGAACTTTATTAAATGTGATTTATTTTCTGGGCTTTCTAATTTGTCACATTGTTCTATGTGTCTGTTTTATATTCCAGTGCCATACTGTTTTGATTGTTATGACTGTGTGATACAGTTTGAAATCATAAAGTGTGGTGCCTCCAGCTTTGTTTTTTCTTTCTCATGGTTGGTTTGGCTATTTGGGGTTTTTTATGGTTCTTTATTAATTATAGGATTTTTTTTTTCTATTTCTATGGAAATGCCATTAGAATTTTGATAGGGATTACAATGAATTTGTCATTCACTTGCATAGTATAGACATTTTAACAATATTAATTTTTTGAAACCATCAACACATGATATCTTTCCATTTAATTTTTACTTCTTCAAATTTTTCTGATTAGTTTCCAGTAATTTTAAAACTTTTCTGGGAAAATTTGTAAAAAAATTCTGAAAAAATGTTATATCTGTCTTCCCATTTTGAATATTATGAATTTTGCTTCTGCTTTGTTTTAGCATTGGTTAAATGCATCTAGGACAAACATCTCTATAATACAAAGTGGGGGGTGTGCATTATTATATTGTTTTCATGAATACAAATGATACTAGTTTCACCTTTGAGTAAAAGTTTAAAACAGCTAAGAAACAATAATCTTGAGTAAAAAACAATAAATGAGTAAAAATTGCTCATTTACTATGTGTTTTCCTTATGGCTTTAACATAATTATTTTCTTATCTATATCAACTAAGAGATTTAAAAAATTTTGTTGATGGTTTATGGGTAAATAGTAGTATAATTTAAGATCTGATAAATTTTTTTTCATTGGACCTATTTAAAAGATAAAGTGATACATTCTATCCCAAATTTTCCTAATCAGGTTTCCTTATGTTTCTTATCTTATACTAATATCTTTTTTATAGTATTGATCTATTATAGCAGTATTTTATACAGGGAACATGCATATATGTTATGGATATTTTGTATATTACTAAGTGAATCTTTTTTTCAACCATTTTATAGTCTACAACTATTTACAAGAATATATACTTTAAATGAATATTTTAGGCTTCTAAAATTTAGAATAAAATATTAAAATCTTGGAAATGTTTCAGAGGCATAGCTCTTAGAATTTTGTATCTTTTAGTAATTTCTTTCATAGTTAAAATACATATTCAGTTTATTTGCTGCTTTATAAATATTTCCTAGTTAACACTTTTCCTTAAAAGTAATGTTTTTATGTAATTGCACATAGTACAATTATTACCTTAGTATTACATAATTACACAATTTTATGGTTTTATTAGTATTAAGAATATTATAACACAAATTTTAAGGTCTAGTCTCAGATCTTATATAAGATTAGAATTTATAAGTAATTAGTTTATGTATCAATCTTACTATTTTATATTAATTTATAAAATTAAATATGTATGTATTTGATTTTCCTCAAATTAAATTTTTAATTTTCAAGGCTCTGAATTTCATATTTATTTAAAATATTTTTATTCCTATGAATTAAATTGTGTGCACTATTTATGGTGACTATTTGGAAACTGCATAGGTGTATGATTTGTCTTTGAACTGTTCTTATTTATTTGGTTATCAATAAAATTATGTTCTCTGATCATTATGTGCATGCTAAAGAGGTGTGTATCAAACTTGCATTAATTTTCAGTGACTTCATGGATTGCATTTTTATGACCTCCTACCTTCATCTATTTGATGGTGAATTTGATATTATGATAATATATCACAAAATGTAAAGTCACTGCATTTAGTGTAAAAGCAGTCATTTCTAATATCTCTGCTTGCAGCACTTTATTGGAGATTATTCTCCCCAACAACTACAGTCTCTCACACTTCCTTTTTTGCTTAACAGAACATGTGTAATCTGGAAAGACACAGATAAATATTCCTGATGAAGCAGAGTTGGCGAAACTTGGATAGCTTGAAATAGCCCATTTTCACAGAAGATTATTGTTTCTCAGCTGTTTTTCCATGTACAGATTCTGAATATAGGGTTCAATAGAATAAGGGACTACAAAGCACAGTTTTCTCAATGTTGAAATTAGATGCTAATCCATTCATTAATTGTGGGTTGCTGCTAATTTTTTATAAAATGATTTATTTTCAGGTAGGATTGGAATAGGCTATTTAGAGCTTGCTATATATCTTTTTAAAGCAAAGACCAACATTTATTTAATAGTCACACCTCACAATCTTGATATGCTTGATATATATAAAATAGATATAAGGTGGAAAAATTACAGAAAAAAGGAAAAAATTAAGAATACAGAAAAATGTGCTTGAATATAGGAAAAAAAAAATAAAAGAAGCTTTAAGATGACCATGAAATCTTTGACCAAGCTATTTAATTTGAATTCTACCCGCCATATTACTTTCTATACTACATTTCTTCTACTTTTTTAAAATAGCATTTGTCTCTTAAATTTCTATTATATTGATTGTTTCATATGTGTGTTTTATCACTAGAGGTAAGCTCTACAATGATGTGAATCTTTGTATGCGTGTTCCTTTGCATATACCTATTATGTAGAAAGATGATTTGTGTTTTTATTGGTTTATTTGTGGTTTCAGCCACAGATCTAGTTATGATTGTTGCTTGTTCAATGATAATATTTTTTTGGTGAATTCCCTAAGGGCCTGTTTTACCCGCTGGTTTCTTAAGGTGTAAATAAAGGGATTCAGCATGGGAGCAATAGAGGTATTAAGTACTGCTACACCTTTGCTCAAAACCACACCTTCTTTTGCAGACGTTTTTACATATGTAAAAATGCAACTCCCATAAGAAATAGAAACCACAATCATATGGGAGGAACAAGTTGAAAAAGCCTTTTTCCTTTGCTGGGCGGAGGGGATCTTCAGAATTGTTTTAAGGATGAGTGTGTAGGAGAGAAACACCAAGGCCAAAGTTACAGTGAGTGTGAATACTGCTAACAAAAATCCAGAAGCTCTAGAAACTGTGTGTCTGTGTAAGCAATCAGCAGCATAGGGGAAGAGTCACAGATGAAATGGTCAATAGTGTTGGAGTCACAAAAATCCAGTTGGAGGCCCATAATCACTGGGGGAAAAATAATGAGAAAACCAGCCAGCCAGCCGCTGATTACGAGCCAATTACAGACTTTGTTACTCATGATGGTTGTGTAATGTGGAGGTTTGCAGATAGCCACATAGCGATCATAAGACGTGACAGCCAGAAAAAAAAATTCTGTTGATCCCAGAAGAATTTAAAAAAATACTTGGGCCATGCAAGCATTATAGGAAATGGTTGTGTCTCCTGTTGCAATGTTGATCAGAAATCTAGGAATGCAGACTGTTGTAAATGAAATTTCTAAGAAAGAGAAATTCCTGAGGAAGAAGTACCTAGGATTTTTCAAATGAATATTTGACAGTGTTAACATAACGATGGCCATGTTTCCACTTACACTCAATAAGTGTGTGATCAACAGAAAGAAGAATATCGCAACTTGTAACTCTGGGTCATCTGTAAGTCCCAGAAGAATGAATTCTCTAATTGATGTCATATTTGGCATGGCTTAGTTCTGAATTCTGATAGGTCTGTAGATAAAAAGAAGAGTGAATGTCAATACATGATTTGATTTCAGCTACACTAGGATTGCTCTTACTCAGCATCAAGAACTTTAATAGACCCATTCAACAAGAAGTGGCAGAATATCCATTAGAATACAAGTTCATGTCAGAATTTATTTAGTAGTGAAAATATTAATTTGTGTTTTATTACTTTAAAAAACATTTAAATTTTATCTTTGATAATTCTCTGCTGTATAGTTTCGATTACTAAATGTACAGAAAGGTTTTTTATAGTTATAAAATAGGAAATAATAAATATTTTGCTTGCTTTGTTCTGTTTGTGGAATATTGAACAAGTTATCAAAATACATAGTAATTTTGAAAACTTAAAGGCCATAAAACACAAATGTTAATATTGTCTTTAGAAAACAGACTTTTGGCTGGGCATGGTGGCTCACGCCTGTAATCCCAGCACTTTGGGAGGCTGAGGTGGGTGGATCACGAGGTTAGGAGTTCGAGACCAGCCTGACCAACACAGTGAAACCCCGTCTCTACTGGAAAAAAAAAAAAAAAAAAATCACACAGAAAAATTAGCCAGGCGTGGTGGTGTGTGCCTGTAATCCCAGCTACTCGGGAGGCTCAGGCAGGAGAATGGCATGAACCCAGGAGGCAGAGTTTACAGTGAGCCGAGATCTCACCACTGCACTCCAGCCTGGGCGGTAGAGCCATCGTAAAGAAAAAAAAAAAAAAAAGAAAAGAGAAGAAAATATTTTGAGTTGTAATTCAATTTAAAAAATGAGCCTTGATTTCTTTTCATAGCAAAAACAAACAAACAAACAAAAAACACAGAAAATACTATATTTATGGGAAATTAATTGAACTCCATCTCCTCTTGCTTTAGGCAAAACTGATCCTCTTAGCTCCTTTCTGATTGAAGTTGACATAAACACAATGCTGACGTTTATTAATGCAGAAGATCACAGTATAAAAGTCCCAATTGGACTTTTTAAATATAGTCAATCAATGCAGTGTTTGTTTTAGTTCTATGGACCAATCTTCATGCATGCATCAATTATTCTGAATTAGTACATTTTGATTGATATAGGTACCTGTAGTGGTCTATGCCAACAAAATAGGAATTTCAGTGAAGTACATAATCAACATCCCAAATATGAATTGCTCAGCATGATCTGCTGCTACAAGTACTAGGAATAGAGAAATCATCTTGACCAATTTGGAGTGAACCATGAGAATAATCTGATTTAATGAACAAAGTCAAAGTGTGAGGTATTAGGAAGGGTAAAGATGATATTGAAATGGGGTCATGCATCCTAGGTCTGGCATCCCTGCAATAAGTCATACCAGCTGAGGTTTGTCTAAGAAAATGATGTCTAACTCCTTTGTTAAGCAGGTATTTGTATGCTTCTGAACTGAACTGTGACGAATTTAAAAAGACTCGGAGATCTATGTTGAAGTTTAAACTACATCCGTTTGAGGTTTTGTTCTCTTATGACATCTGTCTCATTTTTATAGACAATTTGATGTAAAATGTGGTGTCAAAGATTCCTGGATAGGTACTTGGCTGTTGAATATTGTGACGTACTTTTCTGTCATACAACACAAAGTTATTTTCATGCTCTTGACGCGATTGTCTTTAAATTTCAAATTCAAATGGGCATCTTTGATGCTTCAAGGATATCTGGTGACCAGTTGAAAATCACGCTGTGGGGACCCCGTGATTCCCTGTACAAAATGTAAGGAGCTCCTTCAAACGGAGGGACTAGGATGCTAGTGATGCCCTTGATTAAGCAGCTAGCTACCTGGCTGGCCACATGTTAACATAATAAAAGATGCTCAGGCGATTTCTCAATTTCTCTGCTAAGATTGTTCTGGGACATTTTTTTCATCATCTTTGATTAGAGCAGGTATACCAGATAACATGCAAACAGACACAGGATGTGACTCCTCAGGATTAAGAAAACATCCATGCTAAATAACTAAGATCTCAGAAAAGGAAATAATGATGATGGTGTTAATTTCAGTAAGTTTAAATAAATGTAATGCATACCAAAAAACAAAAAGACTTGGAGAGACAAAACAATAGAAGCATTGATGATAAAAACTAAAAAAAAAGAATTGACAAAATGCCTTCATGGTACATTTCAAAAAGAGTAGGTGTCAAGAGTTCTGGGATTTAGGAAGATGAATTAACAACATGAAAAAAAGAAGAAATATACTCACTTATGTTAGTCCTTGATAGATTCAAGTCATAGTTTAAATTTAATTAGTTTTCTCATTATCTATAAGAGAAACATAACGTTTTAGCTAGAAAAGGGTCAGTTTTACACCTTTTATCAAACTAATTGATTTTTGTACAGCTGTTCAATTTTATTAAATTTTTGAAGATTTTTTCCAGATGCCCCCTTGTTATAAATCATCTGTTTCTCAACCCAAAAGCCACTCTCGGTGAGGATGAGAAAATGCAGTTGGCATATTTTGAAAATTTTTTTTTGCATTTAAATGTCAACTGTTTCATATTTTCTCCAACATTGCTCAGTGATACAGGCTTTCCAAAAAGCTTTTTTCTCTAAAAGAAACAGAAAGGCACATTTTGTGTGTTTTGAGATATAATGTTAGAGTGGAGGTTGTTTTTGAGGGAAATATAATAAGACCCTCCCTGGAGACAGAAAAACTAGTGTATTCACAACGCTATTAATTTTGGCAACATTTTAATTGGGTTCTCTTGGGAGACATTAAATATTGGAAGACTATAGAATTTTGCATATAATGTTAAACTTTGCAAGACATAAAGGGAAAGACTGACAGAATAATGATCTCTTGACTGGTTTTTAAAATTATCATTCTGATTATTATTTCAACTGAAAAGAGATTCACGTTGGCTCTGTAGTAGATATCTATGAGAAAATATGAATTAGGAGGTTGGAATGTACAGCAACTGGGGCTTAAACAAAATCCCAATCTGAAGATTTTATAGCACAAGTAAAGATAAAGAAATAATTTTCTCTATGGAGAAAACCAAGCATTTTTAGTTGAGTGACTTAGTGAAATATTACAGATTTCTTAAATGCTTAGCATTTGTGGATTTAGAGAGAATAGATAAAATGTGTGACCCAAGATTTAGCATTTTATGGTTTATTTTAGTTAGGTCATTAGCATAATGCATTTTAGGCTTCATTTAATGGTGATGTGGGAATGCCAGATCGTAAGGTCTATGCTCTACCATGATAATTAAAACTAAAACAGTACATGTTACCTTGAATAATAGGAAATATGTATGGGTATGTAAGTCATAATTATGGTAAGCAACACTCTCAGATTATCAGACAGTGGTTGACACTAGATGAAACCGAATAGCCCGAATCTACCTGGAGAAGCTGTCTAATTCTTATGCCAATATTAGCCACATAATACCTGACCTTTGAGCAGTGTATTCACTCAGTGTAAATATTCAACTAAATGTTATGTTTTGCTTGCTTCTCATTTATTTTCTTGCTTCTTTTTTAAAAAGCTCACTTTAAAGAAAACATACAGAACAAATCTGTGAAAAACATACACTTGGAAAGAGTATTTCTGTCCATTATTTAAAGCTCACTGCTTCATGAACAATTCAAAAAAGAAAAAAAAGGCTGAATTGGCCATCATGAAAATTAAAAAGTTCTGCTTTGGGTGACAGAAAATAACAGATTGAGAAGTTAAATAATTAGTCAGTCTCTCCACTGAAGAAGCTATTAAGCTGGCAAAAGTGAGAGAAGTTAATTTTTTGGAACTCTGGAATCTATTAAAAAACAAAGCAACAAGAGGAGTGCTTAACGAAGAAAAAGGTAGCTACATTTTGGTAAGAAAACATTGTGGTGTTGCATTTACCTACCTAATATCCCCCATTTCCCAGCAAAGTGGCAGCCATGGGGACAGAAACCTGCTTTCCTGGTGTGGCTTGCTGATGCAAGGGGGCTAACACAAAATGTTCTTAAAATACTGCGTTGTAATGAGAACACATGGACACAGGGAGGGAACATCACACACCAGGGCCTGTCGAGGGATGGGGAGAAATCCACAGAAGTCTTCAATAGCAGATTTTAGCAAGCAGAAGTTTTGCTCTGGAAAGATTTATACTAATTTTCATTTATTTCCACTTATTAACTATTATAATGAACTTCATCAGATAAATTTTGACTAAGAGGATAGAATTTTCCTAACTCTGTTATTTGCCTGATATCTATTAGTATCTATATCTAACTATTAATTATATATGATATATACATTCTATATACATATATACATATGTGTACATATACATATGATATATATGTATATGTACATATACATATAATGATATATGTACATATATGTATATGTACATATGTAAATAGAATGTATATATCGTATAATACATATATACATATGTGTACATATAAGGTATATATCATATATAATACATATGTATTATAGTCTTACAAAAAGGCTTGCATTGTTTCATTTTCTTTGTAAATTGTGTATTATAGTAAGGAATTTGTAAACAAAATAATCATAATTTTAGTTTTCTGTTGGTATTGTTAGAATTTGAAAAAACATGTAAGTCATTCCATGAAAGCACAAAGGTAAGAAGTACGTGATTGTTAAAGACAGCCTCTTCTTTGAACAATAATGAAAACTATTTGCCAGGGAATTAGATTTTCTACAGTCATTTACATTAATCAAGATAATCAGACCAGGCTGAAAATTAAGGTGCCAATACCAAATCCACCTACCTTATACCTAGTCAGACTCACAGCTATTGAGTCCCAATAATTAATTTTATTAATGACACATTGATTTTGAGGGACTCAGTAACTATAGGTAATAGGCCTGAACTCATTTTTTTGCAGTTCTCAAAGGCCTCCAAAAGTCATTTGCTTGGATGGGGGAAGATGTTGAAACTGTGAAAGAGACAATGAAAAGATGAAGGCAGTGTCACAGGTTTGGCAATAAAGGAAAACTAACA